AGAGAGAGAGAGAGAAATGGGGAGAGAGAGAAAGAGACAGAGAGAGAGAGAGAAAGAGACAAAGAGAGAGAGAGAGAAAGAGACAGAGAGACACACAGAGAGAGAGAGAGACAGACAGACAGACAGACAGACAGAGAGAGTTTATCACTGACACCAGGTGACCCCCACCTTCTTCAATCACAAATATCTCGACTTCTATTCAAACTGCGTGGGTATTTTGTCATGAAAAGCAAGACAAATGAACAAGCTTTAATTAAGATGATACCAACAGCTCCAACTGCTCAAGAACCTATTTGTGTTTCAAGTGCCATGAAACTCTTGCTAAAAAGAATTAGACGGACTCTGTTTCTCCTTAGTGTTATACCCTATGTCATCATGTCTTCAACATGTCATGACACAGTTTACGATGGTTATTCTGTTGTGACCACGCCTGCCGCTCTATGAAGTCTAAAAATCAGGATCTTAAGGGGGAAAATTCGGGGTCAGGGTGAAAAAAAAATTGGGATTAAAGACAAATCACCAGGGTGACTGCTGCCAAGCTGACTTAAGATTAATTTTCCAGGGGTGTCCAGTCCATAAATATATGAAAGCAGAAAAAGTTTTTAGAAAAATTCAGAGCAGCAGACGGAACAAAAAAATCAGGATTCATGCGATAGAAATTGGGATGTGTGAGATTTATGGCCAAAAAATCGGGATATCCTGATTAAATTGAGATGAGTGGCAGGTCTGATTGTGACACATTTTGCGATGGTTGTTCTGTGGTAACACATTTTGCGACGGTGACACATTTGAGGACAATTGTTATAATTATAATAATAATAATAATAAATAGCATTTGTATAGCGCATAACCCCACTCAACAGCAAGCTCTATGCGCTTTACACTGTATTATTATTACCCCAGCAGACCATAGAACACTCCGAAACATTCTCACTCAACATCCCGGGAAGCATACAGTGCAAGCAGCTGGTGAAGCGTTCAAAGACTACCAAACTGACAAGGTCTTCCACTGTCTATTATTCCCCAGGTCTGGTGATCATCATCCAGTACATTGTTCAAGGCCTTCCTGATGTCTCCGCCCGCCCCGCCTTCAGCTCCTTCGCTGATCTCCCCTTGTTCTTCGGCACTGCCATTTTTTCTATCGAGGGCATCAGTTTGGTGAGTGAGATATACGTGTGTGTGTGTTGTGCGCTGTTCGAATCTCTCCCTTATGTTGTGGATGACCCCTCCTTTTTTTTTTTGTAAAGTGTTTTACGGCGCTCGCAACTGCATAGGTCATATGAGCGCGCGGGACACACC